CCAGGCTGGAGTGCAGTGGAGTGATCTTGGCTCACTGCAACCTCTGTCTCCTGGGTTCAAGTGATTCTTCTGCCTCAGCCTCCGAGTAGCTGGGATTACAGGTGTGTGCCACCACGCCCAGCTAATTTTTGTATTTTTGGTAGAGACAGGGCTTCACCATGTTGGTCAGGCTGGTCTCGAACTCCTGACTTCAAGGGATTCAACTGCCTCAGCCTCCCAAAGTGCTGGGATTGCAGGCATGAACCACTGCACCCAGCCTGGTTTTGGATCTGTGAGCCACTGCCATGGGCAATCTGACCCAGCTCTCCACTCCGCCACTGCAGAACAAACCCTGCTTGGGGTGCTGCATTATGTCATGGCCGAGACTCCACACCTATGAAATGAAGTTTCCCTACCTTTCCTTCCCTTTCTCTCCTCCTCCCTAGGCCAAAAGGCCTAAGCACTCAAGCCACGCAGACAGAAGCAAGGCTGGGTGCTGCCCTCAGGGAGATCACAATCTCAGGGCTGCCACAGGGGATAAAAGACTCAATGCTCCACAGTGCAGCACAGCACAGAGCCCTCTCCAGAAGCAGCAGAGTAAGTGCCTGTCAGGGATCCCCACTCCAAGACACTAAGAGAAAAAGAGGGCACCAGCTCTCCTTCTCAGTCATGCATAATAAATGCAAGAGAAACTTCCTCTGCAGAGGGTCCCACTGAGGGATTCCATGCTGAGAAAACCACTGTGCTTGGGACTGGGGATCTTGCTCTGGCAGAAGAAGGAAGAGAAAAAAAGGAGGAAAAAACGGTTGGGAAAAGTAAAGCTGGTGATAATGATCCTAAGAATTCTAGATAAAGTGCCTGCACAGAGACACAGATGCACAGACACACACCCATACTTCTGCTCCCACAGCAGCCTGCAAGGCAGGTCAGCAAACAATGCTCGGAGAAGGGACGGGACTCAGATGCTAGGAATCAGCTGAGAAGCAGAGACGCTGGGACCGCGGACACCAGGACCGGGGCTTAGTCCCCAACGTGGGGAAGCTGCCTAGGGTAGCAAGAACCTACGTCAGGGCCACGCCGCCCCCATAGCTCAGTGGACCCGGACCTCAGGGTGCCCCTGTCCTGGGAAAGTTGCTTCCTGACAATTTCCTGAGAAATGACAGCACAAAAGACTCCAATTGGTAAACACTTTTTGGGGCGACTGCTCTTTGACTTTCGCCAATTTTTCTCTAGGGTCAGCGGCTTGATTTGGAGGAGCTCTATCGCCCCCTGGTGGAGGTTTAGCCACATGCTTCTGCAGGGGCCGCAGTCACCATTCAGATGGCAGCAGCTGTGGGGCAGAGGCACAAAAAGAGAGGGGATGGAAGACCAATCTGGGTAATACAGTGAGACCCTGTCTTGACAGAAATTAAAAAAAAAAAAAAAAATTAGCCGGGCATGGTGGTATACACCTGCAGTCACAGCTACTCGGGAGTCTAAGGCGGGAAGATTGCTTGAGCCCAGGAGTTCAAGTTTATGGTGAGCTATGATCATACCACTGCACTCCAGCCTGGGTGACAGAGGGAGACCCTATCTCAAAAAAAAAAAAAAAAAAAAAGCAAAAAATAAAAAAAGCCCTCACTTCATCTGGCAATTAGCACCACATCTCGCAGCGCCGCCCCACACTCAGCCACACCATGGCCTCTGACTCTGAGCTCACCTGCATCTACTTGGCCCTCATTCTGCACGATGATGAGGTGACCATCATGGAGGATAAGATCAATACCTTCATTAAAGCAGCCAGTGTAAATGTTAAACCTTTTTGGCCTGGCTTGTTTGCAAAGGCCATGGCCAAGGTCAACACTGGGAGCCTCATCTGCAATGTAGGGGCTGGTGGACCTGCTCCAGCAGGAGGTCCTGCCCCTCTACTGCTGCTGCTCCAGCTGAGAAGAAAGTGGAAGCAAAGAAGAATCTGAGGAGTATGATGATGACATGGGCTTTGGTCTTTTTGACTAAACCTCATTTATATTGTGTTCAATAAAAAGCTGAACTAAAAAAGAAAAATAAACAAATAAAAAGTTTTTTTTTTTTTGAGATGGAGTCTCACTCTGTCACCCAGGTTGGAGTGCAGTGGCACGATCTTGGCTCACTGCAACCTCCGCCTTCTGGGTTCCTGTCTCAGCCTCCCAAGTAGCTGGGACTACAGGCATGTGCCACGATGCCCAGTTAATTTTTTATTTTTAGTAGAGACAGGGTTTCACGATGTTGGTCAGGCTGGTCTCGAACTCTTGACCTCATGTGATCCTCCCTCCTCAGCCTTCCAAATTGCTGAGATTATAGGCATGAGCCACAGCCCGTCCTAAAGAGATTTAAGATAATGTAGTGACTTCCTTCCAATGAGTATAATATGTAAAGAGGGGAAAGAAAGTAATTTCACAGTGGAGAAGCCTGGTGACAACACTTCAGGCAGGTGATCATGCACATAGTGCCCAGGCTGGAGTGCAGTGGCTATTCACAGGTGCAATCGGAGCACACTACAGCATACTACACCTAGGCTCCAGGGATCCTCCTATCTGGGACTACAGGTGGGCACTGTGTATGGCTTTAAAAACTTTGTTCTCTCTCAAAGTTTTGTTTGCTTAAACTATTTCCCACGGCCTAGATCTAAGCCCCTGCAACCTCCGGTGCCACTGAGCTCTCTAAACTCTTTTTGTGCCATTCTCCACTTCACTACAATGATCCTGCCACATCAGCTTTCCTTCTGGTTCTTTCCTGTTTTAAGGCCTTTGCCCATGCCGTGTCCCCACTAAAATGCCTTTCCCATGATGGCCAAGACTGAAGTAGCCCCCATCTTCCGCTGCTGTCTCTCATTACTCTATTTATTTCCTTCTGAGCATCAGCTTTTTTGTTTGCTGACCAGCTGTTCCCCCACTACTAGAATGTAAGCTCCAGGAGGGAAAAGACCTTCCCCTAACTTGTTCACCATACCCCAGCATTTAGAACAGTAGCTTGCTTATACAGTACGTGCCCAATAAATATTGCCCAGTGAATCACTCAGTAGGTCTTAAGATCACAACTACAGAAGCTATAAGTTACAGATTGCCATCTCTACTTCTCTTGATATGAAAACACTAAATATGAGTTACTTTTATTTTTGAGACAGGATCTTGTTCTGTCACCCAGGCTAGAGTGCAGTGACCCAATCCTAGCTCACTGCAGCCTCAAGCTCCCAGGCTCAAGCAGTCCTCCCACCTCTGCCTCCTGAGTAGCTGTGACACCATGCCAGGTTAATTTTTTTTCTTTGAGACAGAGTTTCACTTTTGTTGCCCAGGCTGGAGCTGGAGTGCAATGGTGTGATCTTGGCTCACTGCAACCTCTACCTCTGGGGTTCAAGTGATTCTCCTGTCTCAGCCTCCAGAGTAGCTGAGATTACAGGTGCCCCCCGCCATGTCCAGCTAATTTTTGTGTTTTTAGTAGAGATGGGGGTTTCACAGTGTTGGCCAGGCTGGTCTCAAACTTCCGACCTCGTGATCTGCCCGCCTCAGCCTCCCAAAGTGCTGTGATTACAAGTGTGAGCCACCACAACCGGCCGACAGGCTAATTTTTGTAATTTTTTTTAATAGCAGAGACGGGATTTTGCCATGTTGCCCAGGCTGGCCTTGAACTCAGGGACTCAAGTTATCTGCCTGCTTCAGCCTCCCAGAGTGCTGAGATTACAGGTTTGAGCCACCTCTCCTGCCTGAAATTGTTGGGGATTTTTTTGGTTTTGTTTCCGTTTTTTTTTTTCCAGATGGAGTCTCGTAGTTGCCCAGGCTGGAGAGCAGTGGTGCCATCTGGGCTCACTGCAACCTCCACCTACTGGGTTCAAGCGATTCTCCTGCCTCAGCCTCTCAAGTAGCTGGGATTACAGGTGCCCGCCACCATGCCCAGCTAACTTTTGTATTTTTAGTTACCTATAGGGTTTCATCATGTTGGCCAGGCTGGTCTCAAACTCCTGACATCAGGTGATCTGTCCACCTCAGCTTCCCAAAGTGCTGGGATTACAGGTGTGAGCCACTGTGCCTGGTCAAAAAATTGCTTTTATTTTTTATTTTATTTTTTTGAAATGGAGTCTTGCTCCCATTGGGCAGGCTGGAGTGCAATGGCATGATCTCAGCTCACTGCAACCTCCACCTCCAGGGTTCAAGGCATTCTCCTTTTTCAGCCTCCCAAGTAGCTGGGATTACAGGATACGCCACTACGCCCAGCTAATTTTTGTATTTTTAGTAGAGACAGGGTTTCACCATGTTGGCCAGGCTACTGAACTCCTGAGCTCAGGTGATCCTCCAGCCTCAGCCTCCCAAAGTGCTAGGATAGGTGTGAGCCACTGTGCAGTGGCTGAAATTGCTCTTTTTAAGACATCTTTTTTTGGGCTGGGCATGGTGGCTCATGCCTGTAATCCCAGCACTTTGGGAAACCAAGGCAGGTGGATCACCTGAGCTCAGGAGTTCAAAGCCTCATCTCTTCTAAAAATACAAAAATTAGCCAGGCATGGTAGTGGGCACCTGTAATCCCAGCTACTCAGGAGGCTGAGATAGGAGAATCACTTGAACCTGGGAGGCGGAGGTTGCAGTGAGCCGAGATCTTGCCATTGCACTCCAGCCTGAGGAAAAAAAGTGAAACTGTCTCAAAACAAAACAAAACATCTTTTTTTTGAGACATGGTCTCGCTCTGTTGTCCAGGTTAGAGTGCAGTGGAGCAATCTCAGCTCACTTTGGCCTCTGCCTCCCAGACTCACGCAATCCTCCTGCTTCAGTCTCCATGGGCCTATAGGTGCACACAACTGTGAGCGGCTAAGTTCTGTATTTTTAGTAGAGACGGGATTTTGCCATGTTGCCCAGGCTGGTCTCAAACTCCTCAGCTCAAGTGATCCGTTTGCCTCAGCCTCCCAAAGTGCTGGGATTACAGGCGTGAGCCACCACGCCCGGCCCCAACGACTCACTTCTAACTCACCTATCTCACCCCGGCCCATTAGACCTTTAGGGAACCGACCCCGCCCTTACCAATAGCAAACTCCACGAGGGTCTCATTCTCCTCCGACAGCGAATCGAGAAATAAATCCAGGACCTGCAGCTGCCGCAGATACTCGTAGTTGTTGGGGTCATAAGCGAAGTTGGCGAGGTTGGCGAGGACTTGCTCCTTGGCGTCTGCAACGGGAAAGCGGCACTGGAGCCAGGTCCGAGCGGCGGTCACAGCAGACCCTGCCCCCCTGGCCCCACCGTGGCTCTCACCTTGGCTCTGGGTCTCCTGGAATTCCGTGACCAGCGCCTGCAGGAATCCCAGCCGCCCGACGTGAGGGTCCACCTTCGGCTTCTGGGCCATGGCCGGTGTGGCAGAGGACCCCCAGGGACGGACGGGAGGGTGGGAAAGGTGCAGGGGAAAGCCGAGCGAGACCTTCACCTGCCCTCCACCTGTGTGGAGAGGGAAGATGGGGGGCGGCAAACGGGTTTCTTTCTAGAGTTCAGATTCTACAGTAATTTGCCGCTGAAAATGGGACGTGGGAGATGGGGCGTGGTCTCAGAATCCTGTGGGAGTTGGGTTTGAAAATCGAAATTGGGGCGCGGGCGACGAGGAACAGTCTACGAGTTGGGGCTTGCAGAGGGGGCACCAGCGCCGTGTGCCGGGTGCCGGGTGCCGGATCCCGGATCCCGGGTCCCGGATCCCGGATCCCGGGATCTGTTCCGAGCTCCCAGCGGAAGCCGCGCTGTCTCCGCCCTTAATATAGCGGAAGGAGCGGGCACGAGGAGGAAAGGGCGGGACAGGGGCGGGGCCGTCGACGAACTCCTTGGCGCACGTACTCCGCGCGGTTACGTTTTTTCTGGATGCGGAAGCCCTTCAGCCTGGGCTGCAGCCCGCTGCTAGCGGATTCCCTGAGACAGGTGCGGGCGTGGGTGGGTTTACTGCGAGGAGCAGCCTGGTTTCCCTTATCTCGTTTCCAGCTGCAAATTACTGCAAAATCTGAACGCAAGAAAGAAACCCACTTGCTGCCCCGGCCGATAGGAGGGCGGGTTAGGGCCTCGCTCGGCTTTCCCGCCCCACCTTTCCCACTCTCCCGCCCATTCCCCGGGGCCCTCAGCCGCCCCGACGTGGCCCAGAAGGTAAGACGCCCACGTCAGGCGGCTGGATTTCCGCGAGGAGCAGCGGAGTCTGCCAGAACCCATGTGGCAGGACGTCGAGGGAGAAGCACCTCCAGGACCCCCACGGCTGGCGGGGGCGTGGCCCAGCCTCCCTGACCCGGACGGCCCTTCGGAGCGCGGGCGTCAGCTCTCTGTGCCCCCCATCGGTCCTTTGCCCCTTTTGCAAAAAGCCTGGCGACCCCGATACGCCCTCCATCCCAGCCCGAGGTGGGTCCGCCACCTCTGGACAGAAATCAAGGGGACTGGGTTATGTCCTGGGGCTTTTCGTCAGTCGGGTGGACGGCGCGCGCCCGGGGAAGCACCGGGGAGCCGGAGGAGGAGCCTTGGATGTGGCCCTTTCAGGGCTTTCTGGATGCTGAAGCCCTTCGGCCGGTTCCCTGTCGGGGATTCTCAGGAAGCAGGTGTGTGCTGCATTAACTCGTGGTCACAGGGAACAAAGCACCAGGGAAGGAGGTGGCCTTGCCACTCTCCGATCGTGTTTGACAATGTGGTATAGGTGGCTTAGGCTGTGCATGTCCTGAGAGTACAAAAGTGGAGTCACTTGCGTTAAAAAACAAACAAGGCCGGGAGCAGTGGCTCACGCCTGTAATTCCTGCACTTTGGGAGGCCGAGGCGGGTGGATCACGAAGTCAAGAAATCGAGACCATCCTGGTCAACATGGTGAAACCCCGTCTCTACTAAAAATACAAAAAATTAGCTGGGCATGGTGGCTCGTGCCTGTAATCCCAGCTACTCAGGAGGCTGAGGCAGGAGAATTGCCTGAACCCAGGAGGCGGAGGTTGCGGTGAGCCAAGATCGCGCCATTGCATTCCAGCCTGGGTAACAAGAGCCAAACTCCCGTCTCAAAAAAACAAAACAAAAGAAAAAAACCAACAAAATCCCGACAGAGTTCAAGAAATCCAGGACGAGAGAGTTCTCATGCATAAATATCTGATAAAACTATCACAAAGACTGCAAAAACCACCACGTTGCACAAAGGCCATCACAAACTTGCACAAAACCACTTCTGCACGGCCATCTGCCCAGCAACTGCCTGTCCAACTTTGAACTGGTCACCCTTGTTATGAATCCTTCTACCTAGCGATAATTATCTCAAAACAAGTAGGTAATCCTAATTTTTCCCTTAAAGCCTTTGTCTTCCTTTACCTCCCTGAATACCCATATAGTTTACTATGCCATGCATATTACCATTGCAATGCCCTATGCCCAAAGAGATGGCATTTTCTTTGAGAGAGCCTCTGTGTTATTTAGGTTGACAAAGGCAAGGACCTGAAGCCCTGGGCCTGGATGAAGGCAGAGTGGCTGTCACAGTCCAGCCAGCTGCACCCCCATTGGAAGCAGGCCCCACCTCTGAGGCTTCAGGTCTTTGCCATCAGCCCCTGCCCTATGCACACCCTCGGAGGCAGGAGTTTCAACCATAGTCTGGGTGCTTAGACTCCAGGACCCTCCCCAAAGCCCCTTGGCTTCTGTTGGGAGCCTCTGCAGCCTGGGAAGTACATCTTACCATACCAAGGTGCCCAAGGGGTTCTTTGCCTCTTGCTGGACAGAGCAGCAAAGGAGAGCCCATAAACGGAGGCAAGGATGGAAATAAGTTCCATTCCTCCCTGCCCAGGAACTGCCCCAGACCTCTAGAGGTTCGCAGGCAATCAGCTAAGTGGGGGCTGCAGACTCAGATGGGACTCCACCCCCATCCTCCTCCCTCATTGGTCTTCTCCCTTCTTAAGGTCTCAGGGAGGGGTCCTCCTTGGGGTAGAATTCTCACCCTTAGTAGGTCTTACCTCTGCCTAGTCTCTTGCACACAGTAGATACTTAATAAATATTTATTGAAGGAATTCTGCCCAGAGATGATTGCCACTCTTGCCTAGGAGCGGGTGAGGTCAAAGTTTCCTATGCAGAACATTCAGTGATAGCTTTTTTTTTTTTTGGCAGGGGAACAAAGTCTCATCACCCAGGGTGGAGTGCAGTGGTGTGATCACAGCTCACTGTGACCTTGAACTTCTTGGCTCAAGGGATCCTCCCACCTCTGCCTCCTGAGTAGCTTGGACTACAGGCCTGTGCTACCATGTCCAGCTAATTTTAAAACTTTTTGTAGAGATGGAAGTTTCCTTAATGTTGCCCAGGCTGGCCTCTCAAGTGATCTCCCATCTTGGCCTTCCAAAGTGTTGGGATTATAAGCATGATCCACCACACTCAGCTTTCCCCCCTACTTTCCTTAATTTTTTTGTAGAGATGGGGTCTCTATGTTGCCTAGGCTGGTCTTCAAGTCCTGGCCTCCCAAAATGTTTTTATTGTCTTTTTTTTTGAGACTGAGTCTCATTCTGTCACCCTGGCTGAAGTACCGTGGCATGATCCCAGCTTGTCACAACCTCTGCCTCTTGGGTTCAAGCAATTCTCCTGCCTCAGCCTCCCAAGTAGCTGGGATTAGAGGTGCCTGCCATCACACCTGGCTAATTTTTGTTTTTTTTTTTTTTGAGACAGAGTTTTGCTCTTGTTTACCCAGGCTGGAGTGCAATGGCGCGATCTCAGCTCACCACAACCTCCGCCTCCTGGGTTCAGGCAATCCTCTTGCCTCAGCCTCCTGAGTAGCTGGGATTACAGGCACGTGCCACTATGCCCAGCTAGTTTTTTGTATTTTTAGTAGAGACAGGGTTTCATCATGTTGACCAGGATGGTCTCGATCTCTTGACCTTGTGATTCGCCCTCCTCGGCCTCCTAAAGTGCTGGGTTTACAGGTGTGAGCCACTGCGCCCGGCCTGTTTTTGTATTTTTAGTAGAGTTGTGGTTTTCCCATCTCGAACTCCTGACCTCAAGTGATCCACCCGCCTTGGCCTCCCAAAGTGCTGAGATTACAGGCGTGAGCCACTATGCCTGGCCTTGTTTTTCTGTTTTTTTTTTTTTGAGACGAAGTCTTGCTTCGCCGTGTCGCCAGGTTGGAGTGCAGTGGCGTTATCTCAGCTCACTTGCAACCTCCACCTCCCAGGTTCAAGCAGTTCTCCTGCCTCAGCCTCCTGAGTAGCTGGGATTACATGTGCACATTACCATCTCCAGCTGATACCGGTTTTAAATGTTTTCAGGAAGTGGGCCCTTTACAGGATGCACTCAAAACCTGGTGGATACTAGCACCAAAAGCACCTATCTACCAGCCCCAACTTCCTCCTTTCCCATTCCATTGAGATGGAGGAGACAGGATCTGGAGAAGCACATGCAAGCACTCTCCCTTCAGAGCACGTGCTATTGATGGCAGCCAAGTGTAAGACTGGGTGGGGAGCCGGAAGGCAATGGGGTGGTCAGGACAATCACCGAGTCAGCCTTTTCAACTGGAAGAGCAGAACTCATCCAGGCGAACCTCCTATGTTTCCTTTTTTAAAATTAAATTTTATTTTGTCATAACAAAGTAACTTCCTACTTTTTCAAGGCTCAGAGGTGGTCAACAATTTGCCCAAAATCACATGGCATATAGTGGCAGGCTATTCCCGCCCAAGGCACTTTGCTTTGCCTGCAGTACCGCCTTTAGTCACAAGAGACACTCATGGCTGCTCCCGGAGGAAGCAGGACATCCCCAAGGATACTTATTCACACCAGCTGGACATGGGGGGCGGGAAGACTGGCACCAGCTCATGAAAATAAAATCTCCTGATAAGGTTTTCTTGTCAGAGCCTGGTTGAGCCTGAATCAACAAACAACATCCTGAACCTGAGCACCCCTTGCTGAGGGGGGAGGAAAGGAAGGAGGGTGGGGAGAGTACTCCAGCCCTGTTTTCCAGTTTTATTAGTTCACAGAGTTTATGACCTGCTGCAGGGAACATTTTTGTGTATAATTCAAACACATTCTGTTTTCTCATTCTCTCGGTACCCTGCTGGGACAAGAGTGGGCTGACGACAGCTAGCCCCTGGATGATGATCTCAGGGAAAGGCACCAGCAAAATGTGTTTGTGGGGAGCTTGGATCTCCATGTCACAGGCACAGGTATACAGGTAGCAGGGGTGAACTGGCAGCTGGATCAGCCAGCTACTTACCCCAGGGTCGACACCTCTAACACAGCAGGGGGAAGGGGGGTCTCCAGAGGACAGGAATGGGGAGAAGAAGAACTTCTCTTGCAGAAGCAGTTCCATTTTCACAGCAGTCTTCGGGCTGCCTGGCAAGCCCTCCTCTCCCCTGGTCAAATGTCTGGCTTCCCCCACCCAGCAATAATCCTCCCTGCCAAGGAGACAGGGTGGGGAAAGGAAGGAGGAAGTCCCTAGATAGAGTAGGTCCTGCTGAGACTGCAGGGGGGGCCCTCAGACTTCCCCGATTGTAGGATCCAAGCCAGGGGCCCCCCTCCTGTTTTCTGCACAGGCGCCAGGATGGGCACGCCACTCAAACCTTTAATCTGTCCCTATCCAGCCAGCCACCAACTCCTCAGCCTGGCCCTCTGCACTGCCTCTCACCGTTGGTGCGAGGCCCAGTGACCTTCGTGGGGGCAGCTGCACCACCAGCCTTGGCTGCCCTACAGGTGAGGGCTGAGTCACTTGGAAAGAGCAGGGCAGGAGGAGCCTGGAGGAAGGTGAGCTCTTCAGAACTGTTTGGAGGCCGGAGAAAGTCAAAGGGAAATGATGGAGGCATCTAGGCTGGACGTGAAGGTCAAGTGCGTTGAGTTGTAGGAGCAGCAACACATAGCCAGCTGTGCTGAGCCAGCCAGAACAGACCTGAGCAGGGCTCAGATGTGGCTTCCTGGGCCCTGAGTACTCTGATGCCCAAGGAAAAAAGTCGGGAGGGCCTGCTCCTGTATTCTGCTAGTTATTAGAAAAGGGTTCCTCTAGGCCGGGCGCAGTGGCTCACGCCTGTAATCCCAGCACTTTGGGAGGCCAAGGCAGGCGGATCATGAGGTCAGGAGTTCGAGACCAGCCTGACCAACATGGAGAAAACCCATCTGTACTAAAAATACAAAATTGGCCAGGCGTGGTGGCATGTGCCTATAATCCCAGCTACTCGGGAGGCTGAGGTAGGCGAATTGCTTGAACCCAGGAGGTGGAGGTTGTAGTGAGCTGAGATTGCACCACTGCACTCCAGCCTGGGTGACAGAACAAGACTCCATCTCAAAAAAAGAAAAAAAGAAAATGGTTCCTCAGGGCATCTTCAGAGGCCAGGCTCCAAGGTTCCAGCTCCTGGTAGAGCACCAGCTTGCAGAGCCTTGACAACCCGAGCTTCCTGGGCTGCTCTTCACCAGAGCCCCTGGTCAGGGAGCTGGAGGTCCCCCTCCTGGGCTGAGACTGTTCACTCAGTAACCTCAGGACTCAGACACTGGTCACATAGGTGACCCCTGGGTCTTAGACGCTGGTCACATACATGATCTCAGGGCACCGTTGCTTCCCAGAACCATCTTTGCCTTCCAAGAAAAGATCCTGCTCCAAGGCATCCGTCGCGACAGCCTGCTTGCCTTGCTGCTCCTTCTTCTGCAGGGAATAGAAGCTACTGCCCATGAAGAGGGCAGCTGAGATGAGGAAGAAGCTGGACATGTAGAAAACATAGCTGAAGTTGTTGGTGCTGTCCAGCAGGAGCCCTGGCGGATAGAGATCAAGTTAGGCCAGTGCTACCGGGCCTCCCCCCAACCAAACTGTGTGTTCCCTGACAGCGGGGATTTTATTTTTATCTCTTCTGTACTAGGAATTGTGGCTGACACCCAGTAGACACGCAACAGATACTTGTTGAATGAAAGGAGGGGAAGAAACACTAAACCCTCCTGGCCTGTGCAGGAAGAGTCCTCAGGCTGCAAGATAACTCAGGGACATGACCTGCTGACCCTTGGTGGCAGGGAACTAGTGGAATCTTTGCTCAGCCACCCTCCAGATCTCTCCTATGCCTCCTTCTGGAGAGCTCTCCCAACTCGTTTGCTTAAAGAATTCCCTTGTGGCCAGGCACAGTGGCTCATGCCTATAATCCCAGCACTTTGGGAGGCTGAGGTGGGTGGATCACGAAGTCAGGAGTTCAAGACCAGCCTGGCCAAGATGATGAAACCCCATCTCTACTAAAACTGTAAAAATTAGCCAGGTGTGATGGTAGGCGCCTGTAATCCCAGCTACTCAGGAGGCTGAGGCAGGAGAATCACTTGAACCTGGGCAACAGCAATTGCAGTGAGCTGAGATCACACCACTGCACTCCAGCCTGGGTGACAGAGTGAGACTCCATCTCAAAAAAAAAAAAAAAAGAAAAAAATTCCCTTGGATGCACCGAGCACAGTGGCTCATGCCTGTAATCGTAGCACTTTGGGAGGCCAAGGTGGGTGGATCATGAAGTCAGGAGATTGAGACCATCCTGGCTAACATGGTGAAACCCCTTCTCTACTAAAAATACAAAAAAATTAGCTGGGCATTGTGGCACACACCTGTAGTCCTAGCTACTCAGGAGGCTGATGCAGGAGAATCACTTGAACCCGGGAGGCAGAGGTTGTGGTGAGCTGAGATTGTGCCACTGCACTCCAGCCTGGGTGACAGTGAGCCTCCACATCTCAAAAAAAAAAAAAAAAAGGCAGTACAGGGAGGATGATGGAGGACTGAGGTCTGGTAGACAAAGCCATGCTTTCAGCTGCTCATACCCTGAGTGCCAGGTGGAAAACCAGCTGTAGCACACACTCTGGAGATGCTAGACTGGGCCCAGAGCTGTCTGGTCTGTTCCCCTTTTACTACACTACCTGGCTGCCCTCCTTCCCAGCTCCTCACCGGCCAGTGGCGGGGAGATGAGGAAAGCAAGACCATCCAGGACAGTGAAGAGTCCCAGGGCGCTGGGGAAGCGATCCATAGGGACGATGTCCATGAGGACCTGGAAGACGAGGGCGCCGATGCCACTCATGGACACGCTGTACACCAGGCAGTAGCCCACAAGCACCCAGAAGTTGGCTGATGCCGCGCACACCAGATTAGTGAGCCCGTTGAGCAGGACCGCCAGGCTGAACAGGTACTTGCGATGGCTGGCAAAGGCCCGCCGTCCTGCCACCAGCCCGGCTAGGGGCCGCAGGAAGATGTTGCTGAAGCCGATGATGGAGATGAGGAGGGCTGCCTGCTGCTCGTCCACTCTGTGCCGCATGGCATATGGCACCAGGAAGACATGTGGCAGTGGGAAGCCCAGGAGTGACCACATCACACCCAGGGTGTACACGCGATAGCCTGTGTTGTGCCGCAGGATGTCGAAGGCCAGGTGGCGCTGGATGGTCTGGCCACAGGCAGCCAGGCAGCCGAGCACAGGTGTCTTGGGAGGTGGCGGGGGACATTCTTTGGTCTCAGGGGCCACGCTGGTGGCCACAGGCCTCATGACGGCCCCACAGATGCAGCAGTGGAGAAAGACCCCACCAAAGACAAGGAAGGCACCCCTCCAGCCCAGATCCTCCAGGAGGTAGCGGGAGAGCAGCGGCCAGAGCGTGATGCCCAGGGAGACGCCCATAGAGGCCAGTGCGTTGGCCAGCACCCGCCGGCGGACAAAGTAGAAGCCCAGCACCGTGATGCTTGATTGGAAGCTGAAGCACATGCCCAGGCCTGCAGGGCAAGAGGGAAAACCAGCCTGGAGGCATGCAGGGGCATTCCACCTGCACCCAGGGGTGGTGTCGGCCCATTCCACACACCTGCCCTCCTCTGGGGCTAGTCCATACCCAGGTCTAAGTCCCCGAGGACTGAAGATGGAATCAGCTGGCCTCACCACCTCCCTGTAAGGACCCCTTCCCAGATCTGCCTTCCCAAGGCTGCCAGGGCATTCCTGTTCCCCTTTGTGTAGCACGAGAGTTATCTTGTAAAAACCCAAATTGGGCTGGGCCTGGTGGCTCACTCCTGTAATCACAGCACTTTGGGAGGCTGGAGCTGGTGGATCACTTGGGCTCAGGAGTTTGAGACCACCCTGGTCAACATAGTGAAACCCCCTGTCTGCTAAAAATACAAAAATTAGCTGAGCATAATGGGAGGTGCCTGTAGTTTCAGCTACTTGGGAGGCTGAGTCAGGAGAATTGCTTGAACCTGGGAAGTGGAGGTTGCAGTGAGCCAAGACATTGCCACTGCACTCCAGCCTGGGCAACAGAGCAAGATTCTGTCTCAAAACCAAACAAGCCCCCAAATCGGATTAGGTTCTCTCTTGGCTTAACACCTTCCAAACACTTCCCATCCCACTGGAAAACAGATCCAGTGTCCACGATGCTCTGGAAGGCTCTCTGCGGTCTGGCTCCAGCCCACCTCTCAGATGCCATCTCAGGCCACTCCCTGTCACTCACTATGATCAAGCCACAGTAGCTTCTTTCTCTGCCTCTGGACATGAAGCTGCCCCTACCTTGGGACATTTGTAGCTACTGTTCCTTCTGCTTGGAATCTGCTTCCTCCAGACTTTCCACGATCCTCTCAATTCAGCTCCCACCTCTCCAGAGGGACCTTCCCAGCTCCCCACCCACTCAGTGTCTGCACCTGCACACCTGAGCATGCTGGAGAGAAAGCTCTCAATCATGTGTGACCATGGCCTCAGGCTGCCTGTGCTGCCAGTACAGCTCCCTCGGCCACCCCTTGCCTACCCTGCTAGGTGAATACTGGGTCTCTTCCTCTCTGCATCCCAACACCTCCTCCCTATCCTCATGCTCAGCTGTCTACATGCCCAGTGGTTACAATGGCCTGTCCATGCCCCAGTGGCTGTCCCTCCCTTCTGCCCTGCATTCTCTCCACTCAGAGGCATCTCTCTAGCAAGTCCCTTCTCTCCTGCATCATCCTTTTTCTCTTTCCTTGATCATTTTCCTTCATTATTTCTCCCATTAAAAAAAAAACAACCCTCTCTTGACCTCATAACCACTTCCGGATATAGTCCGTTTCTCCGGTCTCCTTACAACAAAATGCTGTGGAAGGGCTGGGTGTGATGTGCTCACATCTGTAATCCCAGCATGTTGTCTTTTGTTTTTTTGAGATGGAGTCTTGTTCTGTTGCCAAGGCTGGAGTGCAGTGCTGTGATCTTGGCTCACTGCAACCTCTGCTTTCCAGGTTCAAGTGATTCTCCTGCCTCAGCCTCCCAAGTAGCTGGGACTATAGGGACTCACCACCACGCCTGGCTAACTTTTGTATTTTTAGTTGAGATGGGGTTTCTCCATGTTGGCCAGGCTAGTCTCAAACTCCTGACCTTGTGATCTGCCTGCCTTGGCCTCCCAAAGTGCTGGGATTACAGACATGAGCCACCATGCTTATGTGCCTGGCACTTTCTAGCAGGTGCCTATAAATTCTGGAGATGGAGTGATGGTCACCTGTGATGAATCCTGATGTGAAGTAGAGCTGGCTGAGGCTTCGGGAGAAGGAGCCAGCCACCATGCCCAGGCTGGCCAGCACGCCTCCCAGCATCGCAGTCACTCGGCAGCCGAAGCGTACCACCAGGATGCTGCACAAGGGCCCTGTGGGACAAGACAGCCAGCAGGTGGCAGCTGAATGAGGAGGGGGCAGGGGATGAGGAGGAGAATGGGGCAGCAGGACGGCAGTTCCAGCAGGAAATAGCCAGGTGGTTTCAAGGAACAGGCCTGGATTCTGATCCACCTGCCACGGACTGGCCATGTGGCCTGAGCAAGGCCTGATCCCTCTCTGTGCTTCAGTGTTCTCCCACACAGAGTGAGGATTCAGACTGGATGATGTTTGACCCTGATGAGGATTCCCAGAAAGGTGAACCAAGGCCCTGCATGACACCGCCCTGAGGCTGCTCATTGTTTCTTTCTTTCTTTTTTTTTTTTTTTTTTTGAGACAGTCTCCCTCTGTTGCACAGGCTGGAGTGCAGTGGCATGATCTTGGCTCACTGCAACCTCTGCATCCAGGTTTAAACAATTCTCCTGCCTCAGCCTCCTGAGTAGCTGGGACTGCAGGTGTGCACCACCATGCTGGGCGAATTTCTTTTGTATTTTTAGTAGAGACAGGGTTTCACTGTTAGCCAGGATGGTCTCCATCTCCTGACCTCTTGATCCACCCGCCTCGACCTCCCAAAGTGCTGGGATTACAGGCATGAGCCACTGCATCCAGCTGAGACTGCTCATTCTATCTAGCTGAAACAGGATTGGTTCATGACTTCACCACCACCCTGACTTCACTGGGGGTCTGCTGGTGGGAGGAGTTGGGGCAGTGTTCTAGGACATCTAGATCACAGTGTCCACCTGTTTTACCTGCCCCACCTCCCTGCCTTCAACCTCAGGAAGACTGGCCACCACCTTCCCAGACCTACAGTTTGGGGACCCCTGGGCCTCTTCACACCTCCTTGGTCCCTGTGCTGCAGAAAATCAGGCAGAGTACTTTCTCCCCTCCCACACCACCTCCAGCACCACCAAAGTCTGCACCTAGAGGTTTGGCTGCATGTGGAGAGGGGCCTGTTCCTTGCCCGGCTCCCAGATGCTCTCTCACCAATCCACACTCCAAAAAAGTAAAAAAGCTGGGGACTGCTCCTTGGCACCTCACAGGAGCCGCATTCACCCAAGCACGTGTGGAGCTTCTCTAACTCATTCTCCGAGAGTGCAACTAAAAGGACGGGGGAAGTATGTGTGCATGAGGTATCTGTGTGTGTTTGGGGTGGAGGGGGATGGGTAGTGTGAGCCAGTGTGAGTATAAAAGTGACAGAGTGGGCTGGGCGTGGTAGCTCACACCTGTAACCCCAGCACTTTGGGAGGCAGAGGTGGGGGATTATCTGAGGTCAGGTATTCGAGACCAGCCTGGCCAACATGGTGAAATCCCGTCTCTACTAAAAATACAAAATTCAGCTGGGTCTGGTGGCACATGCCTGTAGTCCCAGCTACTAGAGGGGCTGAGGCAGGAGAATCGCTTGAACCCGGGAGGTGGAACCCCCCGTGCACTCCAGCCTGGGCAACAGAGTGAAACTATGTCTCTAAAAAAAAAAAAAAAAAAAGTGACTGGCCAGGCATGGTGGTTCACACCTGTAATCCATCCCAGCACTTTGGGAGGCCAAGGTGGGCAGATCACCTGAGGTCAGGAGTTCAAGACCAGCCTAAGTAACATGGTGAAATCCTATCTCCACTAAAAATACAAAAATGAGGCTGGGCAAGGTCCCAGAACTTTGGGAGGCCAAGGCGGGCAGATCACGAGGTCAGGAGTTCGAGACCATCCTGGTCAACATGGTGAAACCCTGTCTCTACTAAAAATACAAAAATTAGCTGGGCCTGGTGGTATGTGCCTACAGTCCCAGCAACTTGGCAGGCTGAGGTAGGAGGATCACTTGAACCCAGAGGGGGAGGCTGCAGTGGGCCAAGATCATGCCACTGCACTCCAGCCTGGCGACAGAGCGAGACGCCATCTCAAAAAAAAAAAAAAAAAAAATTAGTTGGGTGTGGTGGCACGTGCCTGTAGTCCCAACTACTTGGGAGGCTCAGGCAGGAGAATCACTTGAACCCAGGAGGTGGAGGTTGCAGTGAGCCGAGATCAGGCCACTATACTCCAGCCTGGGCAACAGAGCAAGACTCTGTCTCCCAAAAAAAAAGCTACGGAATAAGTGAGCAGCCCGTCCTCAGACATAATCAAGCAGAGGCTGGTGGCCCAGCATCTCTGCCCCGGTAGAGGGGGAGGCAGCTCTGAAGAGGACCGACCCACAGATCTTCCCCACACCAGAGACTCTGGCCTGACTTAAGGGAAGGTGACATTGGGGAAAGCCCTGAGTCATCAGGTTGGGGGTGGGGACGGGGCTGCTGGCCAGCTGTATAGCTGAGGGTGTAGTGGCTAGGTGGGTGGAGGCAGGGCGTTTCCTCTGCAGGGCAGTGAACTCACTTGGCAGCCTTGGGCAGGTCTTTTACTTTGTGCCTGCTCGCTTTCCTTACCTCTAAAAGGTGTAGGGGCAGGGGCAGTGGAAGTATCCATGATTCATCATGTTTAAAAATTTCTGGCCGGGCGCGGTGGCTCACGCCTATAATCCCAGCACTTTGGGAGGCCAAGGCGGGTGGATCACGAGGTCAAGAGATTGACACCATTCTGGTCAACAAGGTGAAACCCCATCTCTACTAAAAATACAAAAAATTAGCTGGGCATGGTGGCACGTGCCTGTAGTCCCAGCTATTCGGGAGGCTGAGGCAGGAGACTTGCTTGAACCCAGAAGGTGGAGGTTGCGGTGAGCCGAGATCGTACCATTGCACTCTGGTCTGCGTAACAACAGCGAAACCCCGTCTCAAAAAAAAAAAAAAAAATTTCTACAATACTGTGGTCAGGTGCCATGCCTTATGCCCATAATTCTAGCACTTGGAGAGGCCCAGGCAGGTAAATCACTTGAGCTCAGGAGTTTGAGACCAGACTAAGCTACATAGTGAGACCCTGTCTCTGCGGAAAGTAAAAACATTAGTTGATTAGTTGGGTATGGTGGTGCACACCTGTAGTCCCAGCTACTTGGGAGGCTAAGGTGGGAGGATTGCTTGAGCCTGGGAGGTCAAGGCTGCAATGAGCTGTGATCACACCACTGCACTCCAACACGGGTGACAGAGAGACCCTGTCTCAAAATAAGCAAATAAATAAACAAAATGTCTGCAGTGCTCTGAATGAGCACGGGCTCCTGCACATGCATGTGTATATGAGAGCTGTCCAGCCAGGAATCCCACGACGATGGAGATGCTGAGATGCCTGCTAGGGGGTGGTGAGCCCAGAGTCGGCTGGGGAGTAGGTTCCCCACGGATGCCCAGTTCCTAGCCCCTGGCCCACGCCCTGCTCTGCCTGTGTGAGAAGACACCCTCTGGGATTCCCACTCCCTGCCCCAACCCTGCAGGCCAGAGGCCATGAGGCAGCTTCAGAGCTCACCCAGGTGGTGCTCTCTCCCAGCCTGACCTCCCTCCTGGTTTGAGGGCAGGACCTGGAATAACAAGCAGGCTGCTTGTGGCAAGTGGAGAGAGTGGCCGGGAGGTAGCTGGGGAGATGGGCAGCTGTGGCTAGCAGACACACGCCTGCAGAGAGCTGTGGGCCATCAGCTCAGGCTCCTGTCCACTGGGCCCCTCCAAGGCCAGGGTCTGTGCAGTCTCCCTGGAGAGCTCCTAGGAGCTGAGGGCAGGTCCCTGGGTCCAGGGCTACTGCAGAGAACCCTCCCTCTGCCCCGCTCCCAACACTGGGGTCAGGGTGAGGCAGTTAGGCTCCTGAAAAGCCAGCCAGGAACAGGACCCTCTGAGGCCTGTGGTGACAGAACCAGGAAAAGAGGCAGGCAGGGGCTGCCTTCCTCCATCACCCCGACTCTGCAACCTCCTCCCCACAGGGAATCCCCGGAGAAATGGGGCTTTTGCCTCTTGTTTCTGATATCTTCCTTTCATCCCCTTTCCTATCCTGAAGTCACTCCCTGCCCCAGAGAGGGTCTGCAAAATACTAACCATTCACAGCTGCCTACATTTCCCAGCTGCCAGCACCTCCAGGGAAGACAGTGGTCTTCCCTGCTATTCCATGTGGAGCTGGGCAGGATGACGGGCATTACCCTTAGATCGCAGAGGAAGCAACAGAGGTTCAGAGAGATAGCCCAGCTGGAAAGGAGAGTCTTGGTTGGCTGATCCCAGCGCTCCTCCCAGCCTGGCACTGAGCACTCCAGCCCACCTATGTCTATGTCTGGATGGATCCCAAAGAAAGGACACAAGGCTCTGCCTGTCTTTGCTTCCCAGGCACCTCCCCCGTCTCTCCACACTCTCCTGAGCTCCAGCCCAGTCCAGCTGGATTCCAGCCAGGGGCCCCACTGAAATCAGGTGAAATCTTAGGAATTCACCCAGGAGGCAAAGACTGTGGCCTCAGAGAGAGGAAACCAGGAGGCCAGGGAGGCTGTGGCTTCCTCCCCACCCCTAGACCTTTCTCATCGGCCCCTCCCCAGGCCACTCACCTGCCATGTGGACCACAGCCGTGAGGATGGAGGGGAACCAAGAGGTCTCGCTGTTGCTGGCCTGGAACTCCCATTGCAGTTCAGTGAAGAAGATGCCAATACATGTGGGGAAGCCCAGGGTGAGGCCCTGGCTCACCATGGTGGCCAGCAGCACCACCCAGGCCCAGCTGCCATCTGCATGCTCCAGGGCCTGGGACATCCTCTGCTGCTGATGCTGCCACGGCCTCACTGCCACTATGACCGCTGCCTGGGGAGGGGACAGAATGGAGCCTGATGTAGGCTGCCCGTCTCTCCTGGCCCACCTGCCACCCTCTCTGGGCAGCTGAGGCCATCCCTTATGCCCCAGTACCAGGTGTCACAGAGGGGCACCGCCCCTGGGAGGTGGCCAGAGGCCCACGCATTGGCCTTGGCATCTCCTTTCACCCACTTCCCAGAGCCAGCCTGGCAGGAGGTGGCAGGAAGGACAGGAGGTACAGGATGGGGCAGGGCAGGTGGCACCAGGCAATGGGGTGCAATTGTTTCTAATTGTCACATCACTTAGAAGTCAGCAGGGGACCTCCTGGCCCACTCAGTCACTGCTTGTAGAATGCAGCACACCTCTGGGATAAGTGTGGTCCCAGCGTCCCCAAATGCACACACGGTTACGTTTCAGACACTCATGCCCAGGCTTCCTGCATACAAACACAGACTTTTGCAATGTCTCAGAAGCAGTGAAGTTACTATTGGTGCCTTTGTGAAGGCCCGAGTGAGCAGGCCGGTGCTGGGTGCAGCCAGAGTATACACAAAAGAGTTTAACAAACACCCAACCAGCAGCTTTGGTGAAGGCTTGGGTCTCATCCACACCCTCAAGTCTTTCCCACTGGCCCCTTTGCAATCACCCTGCAACACAGGGCTCAAGGCTAAGACTCAAGTTCAGCGATCACACTGAACAATGATCAACTGCCTGCAAGGGCTTCTCTGTGTACCCCCGCCACACACACACACACCCACACACACACACAGTCACACACGGACACAGTCATACACGGACACAGTCACAGCACACACTCAGACAAGCACAGAGACATACAGACACATGCACACAGAGACACACAGATAGTCACACAGATATCCACTGACCCACACAAAGACCACACAGGCACACAAACTCATATAAAGACACACACTTACATAAACACAAAAAAAGTCCAGAGACACGAAGAGACAGGGACAGACATGTACTACACAGACACGTAGACACTTACGCAAACACAGATATACGCCGTCACACACGATGCAAGCAGATGAACTCACACACAGAGGCATACAAGCAGGTACACAAGGCACATTAGACACACAGTTACACACAAACACAGAGACCCACACACATGTACACACATACAGACATACCCAGAGTCACACACGCTAGACAAAGACACACACAAACACACAGTCACACACTATGCAAACATGCACATGTGGGAACACACACACACGTCTCACATCTTTGGCTTGGCAAGGTGCAGCTGGTCCTATCTTCGTTGAATACCAGCCAGGCCACGCTCATCACAGAAGCTGCCATCACCTGGCCTCCAAGGCCCAAGGTCCCCTCCCAAGTTTGGACCCCTTTTTCTTTTTTTTTTTTTTTTTTTGAGACGGAGTTTCGCTCTTTTTACCCAGGCTTGGAGTGCAATGGCGCGATCTCGGCTCACCGCAACCTCCGCCTCCTGGGTTCAAGCAATTCTCCTGCCTCAGCCTCCTGAGTAGCTGGGATTACAGGCACGCGCCACCATGCCCAGCTAATTTTTTGCATTTTTAGTAGAGACGGGGTTTCACCAAATTGACCAGGATGGTCTCGATCTCTTGACCTCGTGATCCACCCGCCTCGGCCTCCCAAAGTGCTGGGATTACAGGCTTGAGCCACCGCGCCCGGCCTGGACCCCTTTTTCAACCCCCTCGAGTCCTGCCTCCTGTGCCCTGGCCCCCTGCACCCCCTCAGACCTCATTGCCTGGGGGCTCTAGGCTGCAGCAAGCGCTAGCTACCCGGAGCAGCCTCCACCTCAGTGAAGGCATGCATCCCAGAGCTGCTGTTCCACAGCCTCCCTCCCTTTCACCCCAGGTCCTGGGAAGATCCGGAGGAACTTGGAAATCTACCAGAAATATGAAACCCCCTCTTCCTGCCAAGCCCAGCGCCTCACTACTTCCCGCAGGCCCAGGAGTTTTAAAGCAGCACCTAAGCCGGCTCCACCCTGAACTGCCTCCTTCTTGGTCTTCAATCCTCGGCCCTCCCAGAGGAGCATGGGAGCCCTGCCAAGGTGACTGTCTCATTCATCACAGCCTGGGGTGAGAGGGTGTGTGACCCTTGTGCAGGGTGCAGCACCGTGTGTCCTCTTGCCCTCTGCATGGGACGTCTGGCTAGAGATCCTCCCAGCCTGGCCCTCCTCCTGGCCTAGCTTCAGATGGGGCTTCTCCAGCAAACTAGCCCTTGCCTCTCCCAGAATTTCTGTTATCTCAGCAAAGGGAAAGGCCACAGGCGCCACCGGATCTTGTGTGTTGCCCCAATGTCAAGTTTCCAGCCCTGCTCCCTAGCTTGCCCCTCCTCCCCAGCTCTTCCGCTCTCCCATTTGACACTTTCACCTCTTCCTCCAGGAAAGGCCACAGCCTTCCTGGCTTTCTCCTGCCTTTCCCTGTTCCCCGACACCCAGCTCTGGCATTCCCAGGCCCCGAGGCCCTGGCGGCATTCGGGAGGCCTGGAGGCTGGACCCCAGCCCCGCTCCCTCTCCCCACTGCCCAGGTCTTGGTCCATGTCCTGGTCCATGTCCTGGTCTTGCTCCACCGTGTCCTGCCCTGGCGGGAAGTCAGTGGAGAAGTCTCTTTCTCTGAGAAGAGCTTTTCTCAGCATCCATTTTTTGGGGCACTGTTTTTGGGGACTTTGCCCAGGCTCCTGTGACCTTAACTCTGAATTCCACCTTCCCTCCAGAACCTTTCAGTGGGGCTGGCTGTTCCTGAACAAGTCCTCTCTCCAGGCCCCAGGCCAATCTGAGCCCAGGAAACCCTAGGCACTTTTGCACATTAGAAGCCCTGCCACTAGGCCGAGCATGGTGGTTCACGCCTGTAATCCCAGCACCCTGGGAGGATGAGGCAGGCGGATCATGAGGTCACAAGTTCGAGACCAGCCTGGTCAACATAGTGAAACGCCGCTTCTACTAAAAATACAAAAATTAACCTGGCTTGGTGGCACATATCTGTAGGCCCAGCTACTTGGGAGGCTATGGCAGGAGAATTGCTTGAACCTGGGAGGTAGGTTGTGGTGAGCTGAGATGGTGCCACTCCAGCCTGGGCAACAGAGAGAGACTCTGTCTCAAAAAACAAAAAAAAAAAAAAAAAAAAAAAGCCCTTATACCAAGGTCTGAGGACTCCCCTCCCCACCTCCCTCTGGGATCCCCCTTGCAGACTTGGCCTTCCTGGTCTCCTCTCCCACTCCCAGCAAGTCCCAGGTCAGATACATGGTGTAGATGCCCAAATGGCTCTCCAGCCTCCCCTCCCAGCAAGCGGTTTCTCCTGCTGACCTTGGCTGCTATGGCTCCGGAATCCTTAGCCAGAGAGAAGCCGATTGGTCCTTCAAAATTCAGCCCTTAGGCTTGTCTGGTAGTGAGTTATTTCAGTTGACTGTTCACAGGCAGGTACAGATGAAACTCCTTGTTCTACTCTTCCCCTGCTTCCCACTACTGCTCCTGAGTAGTCTTAAAAGAAGATTCAGCCCTAGCAGCATCCCTGGGAGGCTACCCTGAAACCTACCCCAGGCTGGGCTACGCCCCTTTCCTGTTTTCTTTTCTTTTTTTTTTGAGATGGCATCTCGCTCTGTCTCCCAGGCTGGAGTGCAGTGGTGCAATCTCAGTTCACTGCAATCTCTGCCTCCCGGATTCAAGCAATTCTCCTGCCTCAGCCTCCGGAGTAGCTGGGATTACAGGTGCAAGTGACTGTATAAAGGCAGGTGCCACTATGCCAGGCTAATTTTGTATTTTTAGTAGAGACGGGATTTCGCCATGTCCACCAGGCTGGTCTTGAACTGCTGACTCAAGTGATCCACCTGCCTTGGCCTCTCAAAGTGTTGGGATTACAGGCGTGAGCCACTGTGCCTGGCCTGTTTTCTCACTTTAATAGTGGTCTCCACACCACACTGGAGTGGATCATCCCCTGTTTATTGTCGTCCCCACCCCTCCCACTCCCATCCACACTATGAGCAGAACCTGTTCATGAACCCCCACCCACACTCTGGCTGAGCACAAAAGAGGAGATGAATGTGACCCACCTGTGTTCCCCAGGGGGCGGGCAGGCCCAGGACCAAGGGCAATGCAGCTTCCAGGTAGGCAGGTCCATTCCAGACTCAAGCAGGGCAGAGAAGCAATGGGGTTGGGGCTCTGACTTGGCCTCTGCCCCAGCTGGGAAGTGGTCTTTTCTTTGTACTGGGAACCATGAGTCATGGTCACTGCCTGGTATGTGCTTTGGGCAAGGAGGGACACAGTGCAAGATGCTTCACTCTCACTTCTGGGACTAGGGGGTGAGGCTGGGCCCCAGGGACTGCCAAGCTCAGCTCTCAGAGACCCTTAGGCCCAATGAGACCAGCTTCATAGCCAAGTGCCATCAAGCTGGGTGTGTGAGCAGGGTGAAATTTAAATCATATTTCTGGTCCTTCTCCCATCTCACAGAAGCCCAGCCTATGTTTTCAGGGTGCCTCATCTGATGGGCCCTGGGAATCCTTTCTTTGTTCCTGGAGCTCGAAAGCCTCGTCACAGGGGAGAGCTGATGCTCTCATGCAGAGGTCTGGGGCTAGGGGCCTGGTGTCTAGAATAGAGGGGACTTCCTCTTCCTCTTCCCTGCTCTCCTCCCATGGTGAAAGAGCCCAAGGCTGGAAATGAGGCAGGCCCTGGGGACCCCTCCCTCCCCAGATCCCGTATCAAGCAGGCTCCTGAGCTGGAGCCCAGGACCCAGGCTGGCAGCAGAAGGGCTTCTGCTCAGCAGAGAGCACCAAGGGCAGGCTTGACCTTGGGACTGAGGAACCCTCAACCCTGTGGCTTGCTGGGGGAGGAGGGAGGCAGCCCCAGAGGTGGGCTGGCTGGGGCAAGTCACTCTCTCCCTTTCCCTTGACCCCCTTCATTCCCTGAGGAACCAGCAAGGGTTTGGGACACGCAACCTAGACCTCATGCCATACTCTCGCCCTGCTCATCCCCGCAGTCCGTCCCTGGACTCTGGTTTCCACTCGGGTGTTCCACCCACCCTGGGGCAGAGCTCCTCTAAGTGGGGCTGCTGGGATACCCAGCTGCGCCTGCCTTGAAATGTCGAGCCAGGAGTCCGAGCACCCTTGGGCGTGGGGGTCATCACCCAGGCCCCGGGTAGACCAGGACTGGGACAGGAAGACTTTTCTAGATCCTCACCGCCACTGAGCCTGCCCAGGCGGGAAGGGTTCAGGGGCCCCGGCAGGGGGTCTGCGACGGCGCTAGAGGGGACCGGGCGAGGAGGGGACCCCTCCGAGGCAGTGGGACCCGGGGAGCCCGCTCACCCTCTCGCATGGGCCCGGCGGAGTCGCGGCTCCGCTCCCCCAGGCGCCGCGTCCTGCGGCCCGGGCCGGTCGCGACGAGGATGTCGGGATTGGGCCGAGCGCCGTGGCCCGGGAGGGCGGGCCCAGGGCGGCGCGGGCGGGACCCACCTTCCAGCCTCCCCGGAATTCCGTCGGGTGGGGAAGGGGCCAGGCCGGGGACCGTCCAGCACCCGGGCCGGGCTCCTGCCGCAGGCGCCGCGGGACATTCGGGTGTCTGAGATTTGCACAGCCCGGATGCCCTCTTTCCGGGTTCTGGTTTCCCCGCTCAGGGTCTAGGGCCCCGGGCGTGGGGCGGAGATAACTTGCCATAAAGAGACCACACCTCCCAGGAAATGGGGTGGGGAAGGAGCAGAGGCCGAGGCTGAAAATCCCTTCTTTTTGCCCTTTCCCAGCTCAGGAACCCTTCCAATGAAAGTCTCAAGCTTTGAGGGCTGCGTCTGCGGGTGGGAATCCAGGCAGTCCGATGTAGGGGAGCAGGCCGACCCCTCAGCCCTGGGAGCCGGTTAGAGAACACCCACAACTACAGGCCCTTTTCAGGTTTCTCACCCTTCCCCTACCTGGGAGGCCCTTGTGCATTAGTTAAAATGTACTCAGTTGGCCGGGTGCTGTGGGCACGTCAGTAATCCCAGCACTTTGGGAGGCCGAGGCAGCAGATCACGAGGTTAAGAGATCGAGACCATCCTGGCCAACATGGTGAAAACCTGTCTCTACTAAAAGTACAAAAATTATCTGGGTGTGGTGGCGGGTGCCTGTAGTCCCAGCTACTTGGGAGGCTAAGGCAGGAAAATCGCTTGAACCCGTGAGGCAGAGGTTGCAGTGAGCCGAGATCATGCCACTGCACTCCAACCTGGGTGACAGAGCATGACTCCATCTCAAAAAAAAAAAAAAAAAAAAATGTACTGAGTTACTACAAAGGTATAGGAAATCAAGACAGTGTGGTACTGGCATAAGGCTAGATATAGAGACCAATGGAACAGAAGTGACATCAGCCCCTTACATTTATGGTCAATTGCTTTTCCAGAGGGTCCTGAGACCATTCGATGTGGAAACGAGGTGTTTAGCAAAATTGTGCTGGAATAAAGACATCCATGTAAAAGAATGGGGTTGAAGGCCAGGCTCGGTGGCTCACGCCTATAATCCTAGCACTTTGGGAGGCTGAGGTGGGTGGATCACGAGGTCAAGAGATCGAGACCATCCTGGTCAACAAGGTGAAACCCTGTCTCTACTAAAAATACAAAAATTAGCTGGGCATGGTGGTGCCCGCCTGTAGTCCCACCTACTCGGGAGGCTGAGGCAGGAGAATTGCTTGAACCCAGGAGGCGGAGGTTGTGGTGAGCTGAGATCATGCCATTGCACTCCAGTCTGGGTAACAAGAGCGAAACTCCATCTCAAAAAAAAAAAAAAAAAAAAAAAAAAAAGAATGAGGTTAAACGCCCACCTCTTGCTAGCTACAAACATCATTTTCTAGGCCATAAGTAAGACCTAAAACATCAAAGCTCCTAGAATGCATAGGGCAAAGGCCAGGTGCAGTGGCTCATGCCTGTAATCCCAGCACTTTGGGAGGCCAAGGTGGGCAAATCACAGTCAGGAGTTTGAGACCAGCCTGACCAACATGGTGAAACCCCGTCTCTACTAAAAACACAAAAAAATTAGCCAGGTGTGGTGGCGTGTGCCTGTAATCCCAGTTACTTGGGAGGCTGAGACAGGAGAATCGCTTGAACCTGAAGGCAGAGTTTGCAGTGAGCCCAGATCGTGCCACTGCACTCCAGCCTGGGCAACAGAGCACAACAGAGCAAGACTCCATCTCAAAAAAAAAAAAAAAAAAAAATTAGCTGGGTGCAGTGGTGCTCACCTGTAGTCCCAGCTACTTGGGAGGCTGAGGCCGGAGAATCACTTGAACCTGGGAAGCAGAGGTTGCAGTGAGCACTGCACTCCAGTGAGACTCCGTCTCAAAAAAAAAACCTAACTCTTACAACTCAATAAAAAGACAAATAACCCCATTAAAAATGGTCAAAGGGGGCGGGAGCAGTAGTGGCTCATGCCTGTAATCCCAGCACTTGGGAAGGCCAAGGCAGGTGGATCACGAGGTCAGGAGTTCGAGACTAGCCTGACCAACATGGTGAAATCCGTCTCTACTAAAAATACAAAAATTAGGCTGGGTGCGGTGGCTCACGCCTGTAATCTCAGCACTTTGGGAGGCCGAGGCAGGTGGATCATGAGGTCAGGAGATCGAGACCATCCTGGTCAACATGGTGAAACCCCTAAAAATACAAAAAATTAGCTGGGCGTGGTGGCGCATGCCTGTAATCCCAGCTATTCAGGAGGCTGAGGCAGGAGAATCGCTTGAACCAGGGAGTCGGAGGTTGCAGTGAGCCAAGATTGCCCCACTGCACTCCAGCCTGGAGACAGAGCGAAACTCCATCTCAAAAAAATAAAAACAAAAACAAGACAAAACAAAACACAAGAAGACACCACCTTTTTTTTTTTTTTTTTTTTTTTGAGACGGAGTCTTGCTCTATCGCCAGGCAGTGGCACAATCTTGGCTCACTGCAACCTCTGCCTCCTGGATTCAAGTGATTCTTCCGCCTCAGCCTCCCGAGTAGCTGGGACCACAGGCACATGCCACCATCCCCGGCTATTTTTTGTATTTTTAGTAGAGACGGGGTTTCACCATGTTGGCCAGGATGGTCTCTATCTCTTGACCTCATGATCTGCCCGCCTCAGCCTCCCAAAGTGCTGGGATTACAGGCGTGAGCCACCGCACCCAGCC